GGTCCCCGGTCCGGTACGGGGGCAACACTGAGGGTTGCGATCCGTTGCCGGACACGGAAAAAGACAAAAGACAAAAAAAAAAAAGAACACTAAAAATGGGGAATGTGGACAAGGTTGAATTCCTTAACTAAGAATATTGTTGGAAAGGGTAAAATTCTCTTTTTAAGTTGTAACTTCTTTGGTGATGTAGAGAAGCTAGAAAGTTTATGTATGGCATTTGTTTTCACCTTTTTCTTTTTCTTTTTCTTTTTAACATCAATAAGGCAGTCTAAGAAATCAGTAAGATTTCAGAATCGGTTGCATACTTCCACAAAAAGTTAAGAGGACTCTGACACCTATAATAAGAATGCTGTTCTTGGTACAAATGAACATTGTGGCCTTGTGGTTTTCTAAGGAGAATTCCATAGGCTGAGTAACCCACTCTAAATTCTGGCCATAGGTGGTTTTCTTTCCCCACTTAAATAAAGGGAGGTCTTACTTTAAATGCGCCATCTAAAAGTAGGTAGTTTTACAGAGAATAAATTCATCAGATAACTTCAAGGTGTGTCTGAATCTTAGTCCTTTTACATTGTCCTTGCTAGTAAGAAGCCTCTTATCTTTGTGTGCATCTTACCTCATCTCCTAAAAGGCAGAGTAAAAATTAAGCCATGTATGGGAGAGAAGGAAATTTCTTTGTCTGTTTGCTGTTGGTTGTACTAAAAAATGAAGGAAGTAAACATAGCTCAGGTAGCACTGTTATGCTCAGATAGGGTAGATTTCAGCTGTCATACTGAGTCCTGCTATTCAGGCAGAGTCTCTTTCAGAGAAACCAGGGGGCAAAGAGAAGGGACTCTAATTAAAATCACATTTTTTTTTTTTTTTTTGTCTTTTGTCTTTTTCCGTGCCGGCAACGGATCGCAACCCTCAGTGTTGCCCCCGTACCGGACCGGGGACCGGCAACGGGATTGCAACCCTCGGTGTTGCTCCCGCGCCTCGCTCAGCCAGTGAGCGGGAACCAGTCTGTATGTGGGATCCGAACCCTCGGGCGGGAGCGCCGCTGCGCTTCCCAAGCGGCGCACTTATCCAGTGCGCCACCGGGCCGGCCCTAAAATCACATTTTTACAAGTTGTATTTTAAACTTTTATATTTAGTAGCACAAGTTGGGCCAAAGAAAACGTTACCTTTAGAAGGATATGATTGGGGAATCAAGGATGGATCAGAATCAATATTGTTTTACAGTACAAACATGTTTATTTTCTTAATTTTTTTATTTTAATTTATCAATATACAATATAGTTGATTTTTGTGTCCCTTTACCAATTCCTCCTTTTCCTCCCTCCCTCTCCCCCCTCCCCTCATCAACATCATAGCTGTTCACGTCTTAACAAAATCAAGTTGTGATTGTTGTGTCTTCTTTCCCACCCACCCCCCACCCCCGGTTCATTTGTTTATTTACTTATTTATTTTTATTAGCTCGCACAAGTGAGAACATGCAGTATTTCTCTGTGTGTGGCTTATTTCACTTAATATAATTTTCCCTAAGTCCATCCATTGTTGCTGTGAATGGTAGTATTTCATTTTTTTTTTGATAGCAGAGTAGTATTCCATTGTGTAGATATACCACATTTTCCTTATCCACTCATCTGATGATGGACTTTTGGGCTGGTTCCAGCTCTTGGCTATTGTAAATAGAGCTGCAATAAACATGGGAGTGCACGTATCTCTTCGACATGATGATTTCTATTCCTCTGGGTGTATACCCAGCAGTGGAATAGCTGGGTCATATGGTAGATACATCTGTAGTTGTTTGAGGGACCTTCATACTACTTTCCATAAAGGCTGCACCATTTTACAGTCCCACCAGCAATGTAGAAGAGTTCCTTTTTCTCCACATACTCGTCAGCATTTGTCATTCTCAGTCTTTTGGATATTAGCCATCCTAACTGGAGTAAGATGGTAATTCAAAATGGTTTTGATTTGCATTTCCCAAATGCTGAGAGACGTTGAGCATTTTTTCATGTGTCTGTTGGCCATTCGTATATCTTCCTTTGAGAAATGCCTATTCAGCTCCTTTGCCCATTTTTTAATTGGGTTGTTTTTGTCCTGTTTATTTGTTTGATCAAGTTCCTTGTATATTCTGGTTATTAATTCTTTGATGTATATTTTGCAAATATTTTCTCCCATTCTGTTGGTTGTCTTTTTGCTCTGTTGTTTCTTTTGCTGTGCAGAAGCTTTTTAGTTTCATATAATCCCATTTGTTTATTTTTCCTTTGGTTGCCTGTGCTTTTGGGGTCATATTCATAAAGTCTGTACCCAATCCTACTTCCTGGAGTGTTTCCCCTACGTTTTCTTTAAGGAGTTTTATTGTTTCAGGATGTATACTTAATTATTTAATCCATTTTGAGTTGATTTTATATGGTGAGAGGTACAGGTCTTGTTTCATTCTCCTGCATATGAATTGCCAATTTTACCAGTGTGTGGTCTTGGAGCCTTTGTCAAAGATCATATTGCTGTAGGTGCATGGGTTGATCTCTGGATTCTCTGTTCTGTTCCATTGGTCCATGTGTCTGTTTTTATGCCAGTACCATGCTGTTTTGGTTACTATCGCTTTGTAGTATAGTGTAAAGTCAGGTAGTGTTATGCCTCCGGCTTTATTTATTTTGCTCAGGATTGCTTTGGCTATTTGTGTTTTTTTATTCTTCCATATGAATGTTAGGAATGTTTTTTCCAATTCTGAGGAAAATGTCATTGGAATTTTGATGGGGACTGCATTGAATCTGTAGATCACTTTGGGTAGTATGGACATTTTCACAATGTTAATTCTTCCAATCCAAGAGCATTCGATATCTATTTTCTTGTGTCCTCTTTAATTTCTCTCAACAGTGGTTTGTAGTTCTCATCATGGAGATTTGTCACATCCTTGGTTAAATTTATTATTCCTAGGGGGTTTTTTTGTTTGTTTGTTTTTTGGTGGTTATTATAAATGGGTTAGCTTTCTTGATTTCTTTTTCTGCCGGTTCATTATTAGAATATAGAAATGCTACTGATTTTTGCGTGTTGATTTTGTATCCTGCAACTTTGCTAAAATTAAGTCTACAAAAAAACTGAGTTTTTTATAGTTAGCCTAGTTAATGGTTTGTCTATTTTATTTATCTTTTCAAAAAACCAACGTTTTTTTCATTGATTTTTTGTATCGTTTTTTGATTTTCTATTTCATTTAGTTCTGCTCTGATCTTAATTATTTCTTTCCATCTACTAACTTTGGGTTTGGATTGTTCTTATTTTTCTAATTCTTTAAGGTAAAGTGTTAGGTTGTTTACTTGCCATCTTTCCATTCTTCTGAGGTAAGCATTTAATGTGATAAATTTCCCCCTTAGTACTGCTTTTGCAATATCCCACAGGTTTTGTTATGATGTGTCATTATTTTCATTAGTTTCAATAAAGGTTTTGATTTCCTGTTTAATTTCTTCTTGGACCCATATGTCATTACATGCACTTGTATAGTCTCCAGAGTCTTGTTTGTTATTGATTTCTAGTTTTAATCCATTGTGGTCAGAAAAAATACATGATACTTGAAGATCGTCTACAATTAAGTCCCAACTTCTCTTTCCAAGCCTTTCTTTCTGCTACACTTTAAATAACCGACTCTCAGTCAAGCCAGACTGTTTGCCCTGTGTGCTCTGCTATATTCCTAATTCACTTTTGCTTGAAACACCTACTGTCCCATCCAGATCCTACGTATCTTCCAAGGACCAGCTCAAATACTGCCCATTCCATGAAGCTTTGCCTGTTTTCTGCCCAGCTCTCATAGCCTTTATTATTACTTAACCTCAAGTTAGCCACATTTAAATATGTGTATACATGTGTCTATTATAAGATATATATCTTCCACATAACTTTAATGCATACCTAGGGCTAAATAAAAACCCAAGTCTCGACGTACAAAGTTTAATTTGTGTAAACTATAATAGAATTTGTTGTTAATGCAAAAATCATTCTTTTTCTCTTTGCAGATTTAAATCGTATCAGTTTGCTAAATCTCTCAAATCAGGCCTCCGTGTTTCTCAACCATGGCTGCACATTGGAATCACATGGGGAGATTTACTGACATCTGGGTCCCACCCAGGTGATTTCTCGGGTAATTGATCTGGGATGTGACTTGGACAT